TGTTGGAGCAAAGACTTTCGATAACATGTACGAAGATCTCGCTGCTTCGTTAAACACAGCGAGCCCCCGCCATTTATCTGCATGGAACTTCAGGAATGGATCTTTGATTAGTATAGCTGTGAGACTAACAATCCCATGCCTGAGACGAGCAAATGGCATCGATTCGGATGGTTTCGCGATCCCATAGTGTACTTTTTGGGTAGCCAGGAAAGTACCACGGAACGATTTGCATGGCGAATACCACGGGACATTTTGGGGCAGGGATATTGGACACAATCCAGCTTGGCAGCTGAAAACAAGAGAAAGGAAAAATCATATGCTTGAAGGCAATAGGGAAGTCTTGTACCGAGAGTCCTCATTTCTTATGCTCGACAAAATGATTTAATTTTGGTAAAGTCATAACTGGAAGTTCCGGATCCTGTATTTCACGCATGTGCGCATTATAACAGACCACAAAAATAAAACAAATATGGCGGACTGTTGTGTATCTGAAGCCGTCATAAATGCCGTCGCCTTAAAAGAAAAAGGCGGAATTTATAGGTACGAGTTATGTTTTGAAAGTTTTCAAAATTGGACGAGCCTTTAGGCGAGTCCAATTTGTGAACTTTCAAAACATCACGAGTATCTGTAAATTCTGAATTGTGTGAGAACATTGTGCTTTTTTTTGTTTATAATACACTCAAAAAAAATTGAACAGCTTAATTGGGACTTTACAGGTTACAATTTGGGATTTAATTGCATTCCTTGTCTCATCAGAATAGAGTAATTATATTTTGTTGAGTGCATTTTAAAATAGTAAATATGTATTAGTAAATTAGTAATTATTCTGATTCGCTCCGAAAAAAAACACGCGGGAATTATCGTAAACCTTGGACCCTTGAAATTAGTCTGTTTACCTTCCTTTGTACGTATGTCAACAGGAAGCATTTCTTGGGTTGTAATAGGCGAATCGCACTAAGAGGTCACGTGATCAAATCGGCCATTACGGCTGGCATTCTACAGGGTTTTAGCTATGCGAGAATGCAAAAACAGATGGCGGATTCGGGTATTATTTTAGTGATAAAAGGTAAGCACTAAATAACGATAACAATCTCCTTTTCTTGCAAGAAATATATTCTTAGTAGATATCTAAAGTAGATTTTTGCTATTTACTCGCCAAGAAGAGTAAAAAGAGTTTTTTTTTTTCGCACTACGATGTGAAGACCTACGAAGTGTTTAGTCTTGTTTCGCCGGCTACTTTGCGTCAAAACATACCATATTTTCCTCTTCCTGGCGAATGAATAGCAAAAATCTACCTAAGGTATCTATTAAAAGTATATTTTTTGCAAGAAAAATGCATTTTACAAGAATGAAGTTGAAAATTACTTGAAATTTTTAAACAAGAAGTCGTCGTTTTTAGGTCATGAAGTCGGCAAAACAAGACTAAATACTTCGTACGTAGGTCTTCACTTTGTAGTGCAAAAAAAACTGTTTTTTACTCTTCTTGGCGAGTTATGAATGTTCTAGCCAAAGCATCAGGGGAGAGACCAGCCGGCCCCCAGACCACATCGGCTAACCCCTTGCTTCTCTGCCACGCACGGAATCGGTTGAATAATTGATGTTAAAAAGTATAGTCTATACTGGTGCATTGTTTTCGCGTCTATTGTTATGCTGATTCACCTGGAACCGTGGTCCAGTGGAAAAAACTTGGGCTTCCATATTATGATACTGAGTCAAGTCATATTGAGGAAAGTTAGTACCTGGATGGGTGACCTGAAACTTATACCTACAAAAAAGTTTCTTTTTCCTTTTCCTTTTCTATTTTTTCTTAGGAATATCCTCTATACCTAATTTAGGAGTATCCCTTAAACTGAGCCTCTGGTAGGAACCGCATACATCCTCATTTCCATGCTATATCAAAGTGTCAATCAATCAATTAGAACTAACCAATCACAAAAGAGATCCCTGTGGCGCTTTTAGTATTTAGGGAGGAGAGGTTGTAGTTGACCAAAATAACTTTGCGGAGTCCACCTAAGTGCTTTTGTCATGTACAAGTGTCCAAATATGTCAAAGTGACAGTCCGGTGTTTACATTCAGCAACACGAATGACAATTATTCCAATTGTGAACGAAATTCAAACAAAAATGCTCCATTGAAAAGCGCAATCTCACATCCTTCAAAGTTCTGTCGACTTTGCAAATGTAGTATTACGTCTGGAAGACCTAGAACTCACCTCTTTGGCCCAAAGTCTCGCAACGAAAATCTTGTGAAACGACTAACTGTTGTTCTTGACGCCGAGGTTCACGTTCACGACTGACTTTCTGAATTTTTTTGTCAGAAGTGTTACCGCGAATTTGTGAAGCTTGAAAAGGTTATATAGTAAAACAAACAACTTGATGTTTTGAGACAAACATATAAACGATCTACTGGAAGGAACTTCTGAATTTAAAAAGCGATCGTCGATCAAAAGCGACGTAACAAGGATTCTCCGTCTGAATACAAAAAGAAACCAAGATCTTCCGACTAAAATACAAGCTTTATACCGACTGCTAGAAGAACGTTACTGCCAAAGACATTAAACTACAATAATCACTTAGAGAACCCTCAGTTAGATAATCCCTCAGTTTTATTCCTCTTGAGGATTCACAGAATCAAGGACCGATTCTCGATACATGATACAAACTGACATATAAAGATAATGAGCAATGTATACTCGTACCTCCCTATCCTTCATTGCAAATAATTTAGCCAATCACAAACTGGACTTCAAATCAGCCAATCAGTAAACCAGAACAATTTTGAACAATCTGTACTATTCTATTGATGCGGCCTGATCAATCAACTATGCGGTTCCTACCAGAGGCTCCGACGAGGTCTCGCCGGTCTCGCTGCTTCACAGCTCGCTCGCCGCTTCACGGTTCAAAATATACGTGGAGAAAAATCGTCGGGCCTCTGGGACCAGGGTACTAGCGTAAGGAACATTGTCAGTTATAGTTCTATGATGGTTCTCTGCAGTTAAAATTCCTAGTGGTACTGAATATAATTGTAATTTCTTTGGATAACTGCTTGTCAGAAAAGAATTTAGATTATTATTATTAATATTATTTGTTGTTGTTGTTGATGTTGTTGTTGTTTTTGGTTTTGGTTTTGGGTTTTTTTTTTTTTTTTTTTTTTTTTTTTTTTTTTTTTTTTTTTTGGCCATTTTTGGTTTGAAGTATGGATTATGCTTAATTTAACCATTGGAGAAATAGTTATTTCTACCATTTGCTTTTGGTGTATTAAAATGGTTACAACTACCAATTTATAAATGGTCATTACAACCATTGGCAATTAATTACTAAGTTCGCATTAACCAACGAGACCAGACAACTGCTTTCTTTTTTGGGTCTTAAAGCAATTCTGACTATGCGGGTCAGAGTTATAGGATCGGGGAAGCTACAACTGCAGCCTCGGTGGGTCTTCCCCCTTGGTTAGTCAAGACACTTGGTCGGTGGTCCTCTGCGGCCTAGGGGATCTTTACCCCTAGATTGAGAGAGGATAACTACCTTTCTTTGCCATGCATGAGCAGTATGCTAATTGCTGTGATTGCGATTGGAGCCACTTGATTCCCATACCCCATAACCCCATAAACTATCGTTTTTGTTATTATTACTCTAATGGGTTGGGAGCATAAACTACCAATTGATAAATGGTCATTACAACCATTGGCAATTGATTACCACAGATCCACTTTTCAAAAAAAATTTTAGGGTAGATTAAACCAATCTACCCTAATGGTAATGGTTTGTGCAAAAATGTGGAAAAAATGGCGGTCATGTTTTGTCTCAAGAATGACACATTAATAGTGCTCTTAAACCGAATCAAGCATTGTATTTATTTCTACGAAACAACAGTTATATATATGACAATTCCATATCGTGTCTTGCAAAATGACATGCATGCATATTAGAAGTTTAAGATCTTGAGCATCGAGAAAAAAATAATATAACATAACCTGTGAGTATACCTATATATTTTCTGTATTTATTTATAAGCTTGTCTTTAAAGGTCTAGTGAACCTACTGCGCAGCGGACCATTCGGAATTTATGGCCATAATGTTCTAATCATCATGTCAGCACTTTTGTCTCGGCGCATTAGTATTTGGTAAAAAAATCGATGTAGATGTTTTTCATATTGAATAACACATAAGAAACTTTATGTCATTCCTTTTTTAATAAAGCCGTACCGAGGCGGACCAGACAAGGAATTATGCAAAAAAAGACAGAGCCGGATAAAAACAAATATGGAGCAAAAAAAACAAGGTTGATAACTGCATGTGTAAACGGAATGGAAATTTATTTTATTTCTCCAACGATTTGCAGCATAATGGAGCAGTGAGCGCCAAAAACTATTTTCTTGAAGAAAGGCTGTTGTAGGCTAAAATCTTATTATTTAGAAAGTTTAACTTGAGCGTTAACCCAAAACGAAAATTGGAATCAACACTCATACGAAAGTCTATTTTTTGGCACTTTTTGCCATCATTGCTCATTATTGAAAAGATTTTTTTTAAATGTATTAATTATTGTTAATTTAACAATATCTAATCATTTCTATCTATATCAATACTCCATTTTACAGTTCCATTCAGTGACCACGAATAATACTTCTTAGCCAAGGCTGGAGTTACCGCGCATTATAAACTCTAGTTTTATGGTAAAATGGAGTATTGCGTTTAATCAATTCACAATAGTTGATACAACACAGTGGGTTTAATGTATTAATAATTGTTAATTTGAACGTCTGAGAAATGCTTATTTCTACCATTTGCTTTTAACCAATCAACAATTGTTGAAACTGTAATATATGACGTAATGTTATATGATCCCAATGTTATCATTATATAATCATAGACACTACTTATTGTACTTGAGTAGTTATAACAGTGGCTTGAAATAAACATCTTGATTCTACACGATCTGAGTGACTACAACATGGTGTCAGAACGTGGTCTATGAGCGAACCATTACTCGTATCAGTTAGAATGGCATCGAGTCTACAATGGGCAGCGCCCAGAGAAATGTCTTTTGAAGGCAACGTCAGCGAGAACTATCGAAAGTTCGAAGAACACTGGAATCTATTCGAGAAAACAGAACTTAAAGGAAAATNCGAAGAGGAGCGATGCTCGTATTTTCTGCTCTGCATTGGCGAGAAGGGTCGAGAAGTGTACAAGACACTGGACCTTCCTGACGAAACGACGACTGACGACAAAGGCGAGACAGTTTGGAACAGGACTACAGCGGATATCAAGACGGCGTTCAAGACTTACTGTAACCCGAGAAAGAACATCACTTTTGAAAGACACAAATTCAACACGAGAAACCAAGAACAAGGGGAGACAATTGATCAATACGTRACAGTATTGAGGACTCTTGCTTCACTGTGTGAGTTCAAAGATCTCAAAGACGGACTCATACGCGACCGGATTGTGTGCGGCATATCTGATCAATCCCTGAGGGAACGCTTATTACGCGAAGCAGACCTGAGCTTAGACAAGGCACTCAACATTTGCAGAGCATCCGAACACTCCAGACAACAGCTAAAAACTATCTCAGAGGCCAAGAACGCGAACGTAGACTTCGTCAAACAACGACAACCCAGATACAACGAACGCCACACCCCCACGCAGACAAGAACGACAGGCGACTCCAAGCAAAAGCCATGCGGTAATTGTGGAATCCTACACAGGCCAAAATCATGTCCTGCCTACGGGAAAGAATGCAACAGTTGCTCAAAGCTCGGACACTTTGCAAAATACTGTCGATCAAGCCAGCAACAGCAACAATTTCAGCAGAAATATCAAACAAGAAATCACCGAACACGTGTACACGAAGTAGAATACGACGTCATTGAGAGTGATTATTCCGATCAGATTACAATAGACTCTGTCAACGAAAGCATCGATCACAACGAACAGTATGCAGACATTCGCATTGGTAACAAGGACCTGAAGTTAAAACTCGACACCGGAGCAGAAACAAGCGTCTTAACAAAGGAGGATTTCTACAAAGTCGTGCCTCGTAAGCGTCGCCGAGAAAAACTACAATCGTCCCACGCAAGACTCACAGCTTTTGGTGGTCACGCAATACCTATCATAGGACAATGTTCTTTAATGTGTCAATTTAAGAACATCAAACAAATAGTCCAGTTTCAAGTCGTCGAAGCTGGGAAGTCACTTCTAGGATGCGAAGATTGCGAAACCTTACAGCTCATAACATTTAATGCTCATGAAATGGAAAGGAACACTGACTCAAGCAAGCTGATTGGACTCAGCAAGGAAGAAATCCTTAAGGAATACTCAACATGCTTCGAAGGATTAGGCCGGATATCGGAACCTTACCACATCAAGATTGACAGCTCAGTTAGTCCAGTTATACACCCACCAAGAAAACTACCGTCAGCGCTACGCGAAAAAGTGAAAGACGAACTAGAACACATGGAAAGAGCGGGAGTCATCACTAAAGTCAATGAACCAACTCCATGGGTCAACTCGATGGTCGTCAACGAAAAACGTTCCGGAAAGTTAAGAATCTGCATTGACCCCCGTGACCTAAACAAAGCTGTTAAGCGCGAAC